TATATCGATGTGGATTTTTCTGAGATTATACGGTTGTGCCACAAAATGGTTAAAATTTCATACTCCTTTCTTTTGCTCTGTTTCGGACAAGCATAGCAAAGCATTGCGTGCTCCACGTTCCTTGAAGCTGCCAGTTCGCTGGAATGTTTTCTATTCAATTTATAATTGCATATTATTGCATATTATATGTGCAGGTACACATTATTAGCGCCTCTCTCAGCAAACATTTTTCATGTTCAGAGTTCTGGAGCGCATGTATTGATAGCTGCAAATTATATGATACTAGCTGGCTTACCCGGCTTCTTGGCTTTTTATGTTTTTTACATCTGACTAATCGCTGTTGTTTGCATCTGTTTAATCTATCTCATCTAATTCTACGTGAACTGCTCACATTTGTGTGGGCATAATTTAACGCATTTAAATAGTACTTGAAAATGAGGATATGTACTATGTGATTTATAGGAAGTATGCAAAAAGTGTAGCTATCTTGGTAAGATCGAGCTGCATTCGGCGTAATGTGATAATTAAGGTACAATTTTGAAACTTAAAAGTGCGTTGGGAGTGGGACCTGGGACTTGCTACCAATATAGGTACTGTTTAGAACTTTTCCATTTGTTGAACTAATTGCCAAGAAAAGACTGCGTAACTTGATTATTTTGCCCAACACCTTTTTCACCCCCCTCTCCTATTTTCAAAATAACCTCTCCGCATTGACGTACTTCCATTCAATAACTACTTTGCATGATTTTGCTTAATTAGTCTGATAACGACTGATATCGCTTCATTTTCAAAAAAGAGGTAATTTAGCCAAAAATGCGCAATCAACGCCATCAGACGACTAACTACTGTACAAAATAGCGTATGGTACTCGCCGGCGTCTGAAATGTATGTGTGCAGAATTTGGGCCTTATCGGTTCAAATACAAAAGTTTGTATTCCGAAGAGACATACATACGTAAATACGTACATACATACATACATACAGACTTTCTGATTTATATATAGGAGACAATAAGATAATGGTTGATTGCCACCTAACATTTTGCCTCTCCTAGAATAATTTAGCAATTTTTATGACAGACAGAGAAACACGTACAAACAACTTAATCGCTTTGTACAAGTCGTCATTTTGTTCCACAAAGTAAAAACTTAGCATATCGCGGCGATAGCGGAAAAAGCGAATTTGCCATGCTGTACGACGAGGGCAAAGAATCCGGTGCTGGTTAATGCTGCCCAGTGAATCGCGAAAACGAGGACCGAATGATTTATGCTCAAAGGTTTAAAACGCGGAAGGGCTGCTGCATGGGTAAATAGCAAAGTATTTGATTAGCACAAAAAAGAGGTACTGTGGAAGATTAAACAATAAACTCTTCAGAAACAGCGTTGCTAAAAAGGGATTCTCACAATTTGACTGCAGGCAGTCATGCTCTAGCCAGAACTCCTGGATAATTTCTGTGAAGTTAGGCTACCAGTTATTATGAAATCTTGTTAACTAGCGACATACAAATCCAATAAGAAAAATATCCTTAACAGTTGCCGGAAGAGTTATTCAATGAACTTTTGAAACGATTATTTGCATTCACGTGAAGGACACGAAAGTGTACAAGTTGAATGCCAGAAGAGTGAGAGATCGTGCTAAGTCGTATTAAGTGTGACTACCTCATAACAAGGTGAGTGTCATTTGTAAACAAATGAGAATATACGAATATGATTAGTTGAAA